CCGACCAAGCCGTAAGTCTTTCTATCTTCACGAAGGTTCATCTATCGCTACATGCTAATTCATTTCAGTTCGATGTTCTTACGGCTACAGCTCCCTTGTTATTTCCGAGGTTGTTCTCCATATTGGATCATTATCGCTACTTCTCCCAACTCCTCATTGCTTTCCGAATAATGGCATCAGATCTTATTGCCGTCTTCGTACTCATTGTCATTTCATGCTCTGGCTTTTTTGTCTCGTTCTTATACTTTGGAGACAACAAGTCCCCCAAAGTGGTCGCTTATGGTTTGTTCCAGATGCTCATGGGATTTACGCCAACCGCATGGGCAATGTGGGATGAATACAACTTTTTAGGGAAAACGATCCTGACAGTCTTCCTATTCATTTGTCACTTTGTCGTCGTTACTATCTTAATCACAGTTCTGACGAATTCCTTCATGAGAATTGTCCAGAACGCAAATCAGGAACATCAGTTCTTGTTCGCTGTCAATACCATTTCGATGGTCAAGTCTGATGCCTTGTTCTCCTACGTGGCACCGACAAACGTCATCGCCTGGCTAGTGACACCTTTCCGGTACCTGATGCCGTTCCGTGAATTCATTCGGCTCAACCGGACCATTATCAAGATAACCCACGTACCCATACTGTTCACAATTTGTTTCTATGAGAAAACAATCCTCTGTTCTCGGGTCGTTCAGCCAATGGATCTAATTGAACCCGCCTCGCAAAATGAAACTCAGGCTCATCCCCAGAAATGGCAGCCCAGTCGATTCCGTGGTTTCAGCACCAGTGCATCGGTCTTTAGGCGAGAGCCCTCTGTGGCAACATACCAGAAGGATCGGGCGCTGGAGGAAGTGTTTCGACGCCCGTACAGTGACGATCGAATGCGACGGCCACCAAGCACTGTGCATGAAAGTCAGACCAATAACGTCATCAAAGACTGGATGCAGGAGATTGGCTCTGGACCGGCCAATGGACCCGATGATGGGGATTCCCTAGTTGTAGACCATCGTGGGGTGCACCGGCAACGACCGAAATTTCCATTCCGGACTAGATTGGCCAACCAACCTCGAGACTTCACCGAAACGACCCGATCGGTAGCTTCGAATCCCGAGGACCGAACAAGTATTGCAAGCCCAGTTATCCGGACTCGGCGTACAAGACCCTCGGTCTCGCCCACTCAGAGACGACACCTCTCCCATCATACAGACATGGAGGGCGATGATGAACTTACCAGCAACGATGGCGACTCAAACGATGACAAGCCCTCCGTCCAAGGGTCCACGGGTGAGACAGCTGACTCGGTTGGAGGCGCAGAGAAACCCTCGCCCAAGTTCTACAGCTCTCGCCCATCTACAGCAAGACTTATCTCGCGCCGCAACAGCCCTACACGTCGTGTCAGACATACGCGGAATGCTTCTGGAGTTACTATGCTGTACAATCCCGTTGGATCTCCAAATGAAGAGACGGAAGGCCGGGTCACACCTACACGGCCAGATGCCGATTCCTCCGATGGAGAATCACCCCCTGCCACCTCTGCCTCGGTAGACCAAGGTACTATGAAGCGTCATATTCTAGACGTACCTCGTCCTCGGAATCCTCCAATTGGACTGAACCATATGTCCGTTCCCGAGTTGGAGGGTGTCTACCTATCTGATCGGCCCACCGGGACACGGCCTCGGTCATCCCTTCTCTTTGATCTGGGATCTGACCTAGGCGATAACAAGGCCGTGGCAGGTGGATTTTCCGGCGCCCTTCCCTCTAGTTTCCAGACCCAACTAGGCTTCCCCCTACCCGCTATTCGTCGTGAAGCCCCAACCCAAACGCAAGACATGCTCAGCAAGTTGGTTCTAGCTCGCATGAACAACATCGAAGAAGGATTCCGTGAGGTGATCAAAGAATTCAAAGATCTCCGCCGCAGCGAGTCCAGTCGCAGTCCAAGTCGACCCGATGAGTCCCGGGGGGCTACACGTGAGAAAAAGAAGCGTGACAAGAAAGACTCGAAGAAGAAAAGCGTCAATTCCCCCGTGAGCCGTGCTAGCAGTGGTGGAAACCCATTTAAAGCACATGGACCCGGTGATGATACCCTGCGGTCTACCTAACTGTTCAGTACATTCTGCTTTTCGGTGATAACATCGTGTAAAAACCCCTGTAAATTGATTGGGAGGTTCTTTTGCTTTTTCGGGATATTTGCTTTTTGTCCTGGCGCGTTGGCTTTTGTTTTACGGATACCAGATACCATCATCTCATTCGGGGCACATAAGGGCAAGGTTCAAGGTTCATCAATCCACACATAAGTACAATGAAATCTTCATATTCTAAACCTTCTATCCAATTCAATGCTCTATTTCCTCGTATAGTTCATGCTCCTGGACAGCATTTACCCCTTAGACGCTTCCTCTGGGCACTTGGTATCCCTTTCGAGGCGGACGGGCAGTGTGTCCAAATGTTTCTCCTTGCTCTGTTTGATCGTATTCGCCACCCTGAAACGCCGCTATCTCTTCCTTCGTATTGAGCGTGCCAGGTTGGGGAGCTAGGAAGCGGAACATCAGAAGTGTACCACTGACGACCCCGAAAACGCTTAATAGGGCGATGTTGCGGGGTCTAATTTTCTTTTATGTTAGCACAGACGAACATCGACTCATGGGACAGATACTGACTTCATTTGTTTCCGACCTTGGTAAACGGCTTCTGTCATGGTAGCCATGATGGGGTTGTATATGGGGTTGTTTTTTTGATAGTGCAAGCCGCTTGGAGATATTCAATTCGATTGTTCAGAAGTAAAATGAAACTTCCGTAGTAGATCTATAAAAGGAAAAAAATAATGACATAGACATGAGCACATGGTGATTAATAGTATCCGCCACTTCTCACGGGCTTTCCCGAAGGTCATCTTGAACTGCCCTCTCTTCTTCCTCAGTCATGTCTTGGATCACCTCCAGGGTTTCCTTTTACTAGAGACTCTCAGTCAGTTTGTTGTGAGCTCCAGATAATACCTAGAGCAGCGATCTTTATATGGGTGTCTATCGAGATATATACATGGCATAGGCTCCGAAAGAATGCTTATACACGTTCTTTAGACCCAGGAACCACCATTGGCTTGTGATGCAAATTGGGGACAAGTTTATGCCAGTACTGCCAAATCACGACCGTGGCAATGGTTGTTGGAATGGCAACCACCCAATAAAGCCAAAACTTGTTCGACATACCCCAGCCATTGTCCCCACACTGGAAGAATGACATGCTAAAAATTGACGAGATAAAGGTAGGCGGGAGAAAGGCTAGTGTGACGAAGGCGATCGTCTTCATGGCCGAACTGTCGATCTGTGCGGCACGACCTATCTCCACCGAGGTTTCCGCATTAGCCTGGGCGACAGTATTGAAGGCTAATTGGATCTCATTCTGAAGCCGTTTCTCGTTGGAGGCCGAGCGATGGCGTAGATTCGCGACGTAGCCTCGAAAGAATTCTAGTTGATTACGGATGTCTTCGTCTGCGCCATAGTATGGCTCGTTCCGTTTTGACCTCATGTAGAGAGCATATTGGTTTAGGATAGTCTCGACATTCTGTACTGAGACGTCCAGATTCTCGTTGACGTGTATGGCGTGGCGGGCAATGTCATGCATTCTCCTGTAATCCGGTCGTCGGGCTTTACCTGGATTTGTCTCTTTTTCAATCGCCCTGACTTGGTTCCGGATCGCCCAAACGGCGGCCTCTTCGAGATGGGCTATTATCTCGAAGATGTGCGAGTAGGGCCAGAATGGAATCCTCAACTGAGAGTGAGAAAGGGGTGAATTCGATAGCGAGTGGAGAATTAACTCCTGTATGGACAGTGCGGGGTCGAAAAGAAGCAGAAATGTCCGGTTAGTAGAAGCCACCCATCGAGTAAAAATATTCAGTTTGATCCAATCGTAAGTCAAGTTGGCTCGGACGTGTTTGATTTCGAAATATGCCCATGTATCTATATGTCAAGTTAGTAAACTTTCGGGTCAGGTCCACCTAAGCACCTGGGCACCTGGGCAGCTGGTGCTACTTACTAAAGCCTGTGACAACCCCTGTCTGACGAGTTGTTTCACAACCAAAATATCCATTAGATGTCTTGTAGGAAGTAGACCACCATTTTTCAGGCATTTCAAAGGTTTGAATAAATTCATTGCGACATCGCTGGCATGTACTAATTTTGTTTGCGCTTGCGAATCTGTTGACATTAGCAGCGTGAAGGAAAATATGAAAATATGAAAACATCAGATATTCGACTAACATCAGGCATATCTGAGCATCCGGGGTGATGGAGGGGTTTCCGTGTTGTGGGCTGAGAGATTCAGGATAAGCTTGACTTGTTTGCCAAGTCCCATCTTAAAACGATTTCAGTTTGTTGTCCATGTATCCTTAGAAGAGATGTCGATACTAACCTTGTCCACACTGTGACAGTAGCAAGCTGGGACATGAGCAGCTAATTCCACTCATGGCAAAATATGTTGTACTCGAGAATATGGTTGAATCGAAGAATTGCAAATCGAAAGTACTTGGAGCACAGCCCCCCACACTAACTAACTAGTTACATATGCAGTTATAACGGTATGGTATCTGAGCCTGAAATTTATTCAGCCTAACTCTACTACCTGATAAAAGCAAATAAATACGCTATAGTAAAGCAATATTACCATTGTAGACCCTGAATTTTACCTGTTATATATGGAACAGTCACTATAGTCCATATTTTTGGAGCTAGGTAATTCTTCTAATCCTTCCAGGAAATCAGAAAAGATATATCTACATACATACATAAAGACATATATATATAACTATATAACTTGGAAGGTGAAAGATAACTAATACCTTGTTTGTTATACAATTCGCCTGGGCACGGGTATCTCCAGGCAGCAGAGCCTCATTCCCCATTTCCCCACAGCTCCACAACTCTCCCACTTTCTTCTTCTTCCTATTCTTCTTCTTTATCTACTAAGGTAGTAAACTATACTGACCTCTTAAATATCAATCCAAAATGGAGCTACCTCATCGTCCTCCAAACTACACACCTCGGGGAAAAACTGAAAATCTTCAGCTCTTACAGAAGCAACAGGAACCGAGTAGTGACATTAAAAGAGAACCTGACACCATCTCAACTCTTACAAACACCCCCGATACCCCCACGACGCTTTCAACAAGCCACTTAGATTCTCAGGGATCACTTTTCAACCTTACAACAATGCCATTTTTACTTCTTCTCGATGGCGCAGATACCATGGTGTTCATTGACCCTTCCCCGGAGACCATCCGATCCAAGTTGCCTCTTTCCCCACAAACAGTTCCCCATCGCATCCACAGTGAGAAGTTATTGGCTACAGGCTCAGCCTACTTCAAACGACTCTTCAATCCGCAAATGCAGACCCGGGTCCGAAAGCGACGCGGCTTGACTGGCAAACTTCCAGATGGGATTCGATACATCTTAGACCTCACACCCCCAACCCTAGAAGAAGATGCAGTCATCTTCCTAACCGAGCTTTCCTGTCCTATGAGTATCAGGACATGGGCCTCGAAACAGCATATTTGGAGTCTGCCAGGGTCGTGTGTTGGAGGACAAGATGACTTGGAACCCTTCGAGCAGCTTACACAATTCCCTACAGAATCGCCTGACCCCAGGGCTGGTACCGATATCGACCACCCTGGATATTTGGAAAATGACCAATTTTCGGCATCACAACCTGAAACAGTAGAGCAGACAGGCTTGCCGGCGGAATACTCAGCCTCCCGCCATCGTGAAGGCATTGAGCATATTCTCCACGTTCTGGAAGGACTAAACCCTAGAATAGACACTCCTTGCAAGATGTGGACCTTTTTTGCCCTCGCCAAAATATTTGACGTGGCTACGGTGCCGGCCATCTGCGACCACATCATCTCGTGGTTCTACGAACTCAACAACACTCGGTTCATCGAACTTCATCCAGAGGTAGCATATCGAGTGGCATGTGGTATCAAATCTCCCAGCCTATGCCGAGACGCCTTTGTCGAAATGGTTGGGGATGAAGCCCTGCTGTACCTGATTCGGGCCACACAATTCAAGTCAATCGGGTCCGTGGAAAGCTTGGCGCGGAGCCGAATTTCCGATGTTCTAGATGACACCGAGGTGCAGCGTATTGAGTATGCCAGCAAGAGTTTCGGCGACTACGTTGTTCGATGCTTCCTACAGTTGACCGGGAATGAAATGCCCTGGTTGGCACGCATTGTTGAGTTCCAGAAGCTTTCCCGCCATGCTCAACTTTATCCTGCAGATCAAGGAATCATATGTCAACTAGTCACGACACTGAAGGAATTCATTCGAGGTCGCATCTACGGGGCTCTGATCAAGGGAAGGGACACAAATCGCTCATTCCATGTGGCGCCAAACTTGGTGAGATCCGAAGACCCGTACGATCTTTGGGGCATGGACAAGAGGTTTGTCCTTCAGCGATTGATTGGGCAAAAATTCTGGGAGACGCTAGTATGGCAGGATCCCTATCAAGATGAAGCACCTCGTCTAGAGTCCCATTCTTCCATAGCAGAAATCGGCAATGGCTCACTAGCCTTTGGTGCCGAAACAGCAGCAACGATTCGCCAGGTGTCTCATGGTGAAATTCTCCAGATGAGCCATGTGTTCAACCAAGCGGTTAGGGCTAGAGATCAGGCTCGTCACGAGGAGGAGACTCTGGCTGCGCAACATGCGGGCGGGCATGTTAAGATGGAGATGACCATTAACGTCCGGAAGTCACAATTCGGAAATGATGTTGACAGCACCTACAACAACGGCCCTTTCCTCAACCCCACCCCTGCTCCCACCCCTACCCCGTGTCTTCCGCATATATCTACATTGCCACCAAGGACAGACATTTCAGCAGAAATGTTTGACGAAAGAACATTCAAAAGTGAGGTTCACTCTTTCTTGAGAGAATACGCAATAGAGATGCTGCAGCAACCTGGCCCACCTACATGCATGCGACACGAAATCACAGATACCCTAATCTGCCTTACATACAATGAATTTCAATACCTACCTCTATGGGCGGGCGGCAATGACGATGAAACGGGTGGTGTTTTCACCGACTTGATCATTCCCGCCATGGACGTCGGTGGATTCTCAGCTCCTGGACCCGCCGTGCACACTGGCAGTGTCACTTCCACCAACAATTCTTTCAGCGAGGTCGAGGCCAGTGACACCCAGAGCACGGTTTATGGCGCATCTCACAACGCCACTTACAGTTACGCGTCGGATATCATGTCTGTGGACTCTACCGACTATTCCCAGTTTAGACTCAAACATGAGAATCATGAGGGCCAAGATGAGGTGCAGTCGGATACTTACATGGAGGTTACTGAGTATGATGATGAGGTATCATCCCTGGATCTTGGTCTTACTACCGACGACGGTGAATACGAAACACAGAGTGATGGCACCATTACCATGGATATGGGATCGCCTGAGCCTTCTGGTACTGGTATCTCCGAGGATATCAAAATGGACAAGGTGAAGGACGAAGGTAATGAGACTGAGTTCGAATTTGTCGATGCCTAGAACTATGTTTCAAAATGTCCTGCTGATTTACTTTGTTTTCTCTCTTTTTCTTTTTGGCCGGAGTCAGAAAGGCATAATGTTTGCACGAGAAAGGACGTCGCTCGGAATGGAATCTCAGTTACTGCTCTATTGTATCTGCACGAACTACTCAGGCTATGTTGTAGGCATTTCTAGCTATAGTAAATCTATCTCCAGGTGACCTTCATGTTCTTATTAGTCTCCAATTGATCCTTTAATGACTTGATGCGAGGTAAGCTCTTTAATCTGCCTTCATTTTCTCCAGCACTTCAACGGTGCCAGAATAATCCTTCCCAAATGTTTATTCTCGGCGCGCGTGCGCCATCTCCATCAACTCTTTCGCAGCATCCAGCTTGTTCTGCGATTCATATATGGAGCTGAGACTGCGCATGGCGGCCTTCGTATATATGTGGTCTTTCCCAATGGTCTCTTCCATTAAACGTAAAGAACGGCATGCTATAGCTTCAGCCTCGGGAAGTAATTGTAGCTCATGATACGTCATTGCAAGCTCGGTTGTGGCGAATAGCATGCACTCTTCACGGTCCATACCAGCCTTCGCCATATCCCTTATCACCTTTTCTCCGAGATCCTTAGCCTCATCTAGACGGCCTTGATTTCTGATTGTGGAGCACAGTTTACTCATAAGCTCAAGAGTTTCCCGATGTGTCTTGCCGTGCACAAACTCGCTGGTTTTCACTAGCTCGTTTCCGAGCTCTTCAGCATCTGCCCATCGACATTGAGATCGATATATAGATTCAAGCTTTGCCATAGAGGCGAGCGTTAAGGGGTGATTTGTGCCAAAGGATTCTTGGCAAGTAGCGGCAACCTCTCGTCCCAGATTTTCGGCGGAGTCTAGCTTGCTCTGGCCTTGATACGTTGAAACAAGGCTCATTTTCCATTTTAATAACGAGCGATTTGTTGGCGATAGTACTTCCTCGCCAAGGTCCACTAGCTGGTGCGCAATCAGTTCTCTCTCTTCGTAGCGACCAAGCCTTGCATATGAAGTAGAGACGTTCTCCATCGCACGCAACGTCGATAAATCTCTCAGACCAAGCGTCAGCTTCTTCCTTTCAAAAACCTTTATATCAAGCTTCAGGGCCTCGAGTAAATTCCCCTGCTCTATATATAGCAGCGCGATTTTGCTCATATTGTTCAGTGTAGAAGGATGGTCCTCGCCGAGCTTCGCATTTTGGATCACCGCCACTTGCTCTAACAGTTTCACGGCCTCCGCGAATTTGTTCTGGTTGCGGTAAGTTAACGCGAGCTTCTTCATGCTTTTCACAGTCACTGGATGCTCCGGCCCTATGGTGGTCTTGTTGTTCTCGATTTCTTGGAGTTCCTTGTCCACTTGGTCTTGCGTTTCTAGGTGGTTCTCCGCCTCGGGAACTTGAGGCTGGTCATCTGATTCCGAGACTTCACTTAAAGTGTGGCCTGATCTTTGACTTATTGATATAGACTTCAATGATGTTATCGCTTCATCTTCAATCCCCAAAACTTGCTGGGACTCATTTGACTCTCCGTCGCGGGCTGCGTGTTCATTTTCTTCTGACTCGCGACGGGGTAAAATGAAAAGGGACAGCTGCTGAAGATGTCGCGCTAAATGCTGCTGAAAGCGACTCGGGTTTGAAATGGGGGGCTTTGTGCACAGAGGACATTGTTGCGCAGAAGATATAGATCGTTCGGACAGGTTCATGATCGCTTGCTGTTGGTCTTCAGGGAGTACTCCAGCATGAGCGGCCCGAAGATGATTGCGGAATAAAGCCTCCGAATTGAAGGTGAGTGAGCATAAATTACAAACCCACTCTCGCCGATGGAATTGCCGTTCATGTTCACTCCATTCTGTGTAGCTGTCGTAGAGTTGGTTGGCTTTGACGCAGTCTCCGAATGTACAGATATAGGGCCGCAAATCGCTGTATACATGATATTTCCAGTCTTCGTCCATATTCTCCAGCTGAATTGTCTGGCGACAGTACGGGCAGAAAAATGGATGGTTCTGGATTGTGTTCACTACGTCTGCTGGCGGCGGTGGCGGTATCAAGATATGTGCCTGGTCACCGGCGGTCGAGGTCGTTTCAGAGAATTTTGTTTGCCCCGAGTCGGATATACTGTCGTCATCATGATGGTAGATTGTCGAGGCGGTGGTATCCTGTGTCCATTTGGTCGAGATACTTCGGGTTCTCGTGTCCTTGATTGAGGCCCTTGGAACCTCAATGGCCTTTTGCACGGCCACATCGACATATCTGGAAATCTTTTCGGTATGATCTTTGTGGTATGCCAGAAGTTGACGGCGTCTTGTGTTTGCTTTGCCCAGGCGTTGAGCAAGTGTACTATCCCATGGAATGTTGTATTTGTCTGACACGTGCTGAATGTCGTAGAATTCGAAATGACCAAGTTCAATGCGCGATGCTTGAGCTGTGCGATCCCGATGTGCTGGGTTCTGAAGAGTCAGGGAGAATTTATAACTGTATTGTGTGAGTGGCAGTGCTCTTCAAACTCAGATAGAAGTAAACTCACAGGCTGGTAATCGTATATTGAATGTCGATCATATATTCGTTCAGCTTCGAATGTTCACCACTCTCTTCTTTGATCTGATCCCAAAACCCGTCCGAATCCGAATCATCTGCGTCCAGTTCATGCATTTCGGACCCAGCAGACGCATCGTCAACCCCGAAGGACTCTTCACTTCCCGAGAAGAAAGAGATCGCTAGGCACAATAAGTAACAATTCAAGTAGTCGGACTAAGGATATTTAGATACCTCCTTGGATGGCGTCCGTAATGTCCCTGATATGGTTTTGAACCTCTCGATGTAAGTCTGGGGCCTCTCGAAGCCGGTGGTCCAAAGATAATCTGTCTGTATGTTTGCGATGTGCACCGAAATTCCCAACCCACACTCGTAGCATTCCCATATCATCCTGGACCTTGAGACGAATTTCATTTTGTTTGCCGGGGATATAATCTAGCAATGTGTGGAAGTCTCGAATGCATAGCGCAATGAGGGAACTCGTCGAAGGATTGCTCTCTGACTCCATCTTAGACACTAACCCAGGGCCAAGAAGAATGCTGAGACAGAGACAATGTCTAATCAACACAAAGGGGATATACGGCCCTAGAAAGATGAGATAAACTGTCTGTCTCGGTTGGACGCATAATTACCATAGCGGGGTTGATGAGCCGCAGGTAAGCGCTAACTTCGTCTCTCTTCAAAGTCCCTTCCTCTTCTATTTTCCCCTTTTTAAGTCATTTGCTTGGGGCAACACAGATCTATGTCTTTCCCGATATGAGTGGCTTCGAAATAGTTGGGGTTGTTCTGGCTGTCTTTCCGATTATTACCCAAGGTCTCAAGTTCTATTCTGAGGGAACGGGGTTAGTCAACGACTTTTTTCATTACCAGCATGTTTTGAAACGCATCGGTCGAGGTCTGGCCCGTGAGCAAACCAGCTTTAGCAACTCTTGCAGGCGATTCATGGAAGATGTTGCCAATCAATGCGGAGTTGGGGAAGAAGAGATAGCCGAGATGATGCAGGATCCAACAGATCCCCGATGGAGGGAAGGAGATCTTGTCAAGGAACATGTCTTTTGTCAAAAGTCTGTGCAGGAATACATAGATACGGTGGAGGATATGAACGAGGAACTGGCCAAGATCAGGGACTTGACTGCTATAGACGGAGATAACAGTCAAGTAAGCATATTATCTATTGGCTTCGCTGCCGATTCTAACTTGAAACATCGCATTTAGTCCAAACCCCTCGATAAAAAGTCTCGTCGGCGACAATGGAAGAAGATCATCCTCGTGCTCAAGAAAGATGATATTACCCGACACCTTGAAGAAGCCGGGCGCCTGAACACCTTTCTGGCGCGATTGACGGAACAAAATCAGCCTGTAACGGCTACACGTCGTATTTCACGAAGAAGCACTAAGCACTACGTGCGGATCCGCGCTCACGCGATTGATCTTTATGAGATATTTCAGAACAAATTTCCAGCATCATCTAGCTGCAATTGCATGTTGCAGCACGATGTGAACATGAAACTTGAATTCCGCAGTGCGAAAACTACCGCAAAAGGCCTCTATTTCCACGCAGTATTTACTTCCAATATTGCGTTTCCTTCGAGAAACTGGCGAGAGATTGAGATGGAGCCTTGGAAAACTGATGAAACCAAGCTGTGCCAGGACACAGAGCGTCATGCCCAAGTGAGGTTTGCCGATCCTCCCTCTCAAACAGAATCCAATTATGAAGTTATCTCCGACCTATGTGCAACAATAATAGAGCCACCATCATCACGGGATTGGCTGGGGTTCATTGCAAGTGAGAAAGGCCGACAGCATCGTATCAGGTCTATGGAATACCATCAAAGGCTACTAGACTTCAAAAACATTGATACTGTGTCCCTGGCCCAGGTTCTGCGTGATAAATCATTCCGTCAAGAGCAACGATCCCGACTAGGGTTAAAGTTGGCTTCTTCAGTGATGCAGCTGCATACTACAGATTGGTTGACGGATTTTTGGAGCAAAGATGATATCTTGTTCCTGCGTTCATTGGATTCCACGGTTGATTTCGATGGCCCCTTGATTCGACGCAGCTTTGAAACTCGAAATATAGACTTAACTTCTATATCCCAAAATCTTCCAAGACCCTGGCTGAATGCATCGATTCCATGCCTATTTTCACTGGGCATCGTTCTCTTAGAGCTTTGGTATAGAGAAGCGTTTGAGAACCTAAAAAATGAAGCTGAAAGAAAGATGGTATGTATCAATCTACAGCCACCTTCCAGGGCCCATGGGTCTAACTCGCAGTCTAGCCACCAGAATTCTCCGACCCTTTGGCAGCAAGACGCTTAGCCAATGAGATGGACTCTGGTCCAAACTATAAGAACAGTGTCTTGCGATGTATATCTGGCCTTGACGCGGTATACACGTCACTGACAGAAGAAAAGTTCCAAAATGAGGTGGAAGAGAAGATTCTCTCTCCTTTGGAAGAGGACTTGAAATTTTACTGCAACATAACGTCGATAGAGGATTGTATATAACATAATCGGGCTTTGACTAGCAGGTTGCAATCCGATTTTCATAGAATGCGACTAAGATACGCAAAAAATGATGGCTTCAAATGGCGTTTCGATAATATTCATATACAAGACCTCAACAACTCTAAGGCTACTATATAACCGACCCAGGGCGCCAGGTGTGCTGACTCAGCGGAATTGCGTACCTAGGCAGGCAAACTGCCCCAATACAAGGTCCTCCAGCTTTCAAGACCTTTCAAATTACTGAACTCCTATATCTGAGTTCTATAAGCGCTTGAAAACTGCAGGCTCTTCTGTCACTTTTACCTGGTCCTCTTTTCTGCAACAATACTTCTATCTTTGAGGTCACGAACACTGACATCATATCACTATGGCTTCATCCTCCAAGACGAGCTCCTTGCTCTAGTAAGTCTTGTTGTCTAACATTTGAGTGATGAAATAAGATGTTCCCAGACTAACAATATAATCAACATCAGCTCATGCATTGCGCATCGCACTACCATTCTAGCCGAGCATTCCTCGCCGGGCAGTTCATCGAGCGCCGCCTCGTCACTAGCTTCCATCATCCTCCCAAAGATCTCACACGACAAGCCACAAAAGCTCACCTTCACCCATGAACGGCTCTTTGTCCATTACATTGCCGACTCTCCAACGGGCAACCAATCCGACGATGCCAACCTCGCAGAGCCCAACTCACACGCTCCCCTGAGTTTCGTGGTAGTTGCCTCGGCGGAGCAAGGCCGCCGCATCCCATTTGCCTACCTCCTAGAAATGAAGCGCAAGTTCCTGACCACCTACGAACCATCCACAACCGAGTTCGGCTCGCTGCCCGCCTACGGCTGCGCTGCCTTCAACAATGAGCTGCGCTCTCTCCTACAAGCCTACAACACCGCCCCGCCAGCAGACTCGCTTGCGTCAGCCCGGCGCGAGATTGACAGCGTCCGGGATATAATGACTGAGAATATCGAGCGAGTCTTGGAGCGCGGCGAGCGCATTGATCTGCTGGTTGACAAGACTGATCGACTTGGCGGGAGTGCGCATGATTTCCGGATCCGTAGCCGGGGACTGCGGAGACGGATGTGGTGGAAGAATACTAAGTTGATGATTATGATGGTGGTCGTCGTTATCTTCTTGCTATATCTGTTCATTGGTATGGGATGTGGACTACCTGCATGGGGGAAGTGTGTTGGACACTAGCACAGCTTTGAGGTGGCTAGTCGAACATTTTCAGCGAGCGTGCTTTTTTTCTCTCTCTCTCGAATATCCAGTTTCTGGGTTTGCTTCGGTTTCCGACTTTCTCATGAGACACGATGCGATGGTTATCTGCTTTCCTACTTTTTTCTGAGTTTGCTCTGTTTTTACCCGTTAGGTTATTTTCCTACTCAGATTTGTATATTAAAGCATCTGTTTTGTATTCTTTACGGTATCGAAGTACGCATATATTTTATAGGACTTATATAATTGGCATGACTTAACTACCTAGTAACTAGGGTCTAGCCAGTAGGTTTGATATGTCTCTCACATTTCATCTTCTCGATGCTTTAGTTATTATAGATTATGACTGTCTTGTTTATTGGTGTAAAAGTGGCAGTTGATAAAATAGGGGAGAAACATTTCAAGGGTTTATTAGTTGTTCAAGTGGTTTTCAGTTTTGAGTCCATTGAGCAACCTGACAAATATATTTCGGACCCAGCCTTGATACATATATATCTATGTACCATGTAATGCTTTACACAAGTCAAATAACTAAAATCAATACTCAGTTGTCAAAAGTCCCTTGATTTTACTCCAGTGTATATAAGGTCAGAGAGAAAAACCACTAGCATTGAGAGCGCATTTCAACGTTAATGTTCCTCTCCATAACCATTGCAATTTGCCACTCTGTACGACCCAAGCCAGCCGGAAGGATATGACTGCCCAAGATAAAATAAATTTGAGAACCCAGAGAAAATATTGAAGCAAAGAAAAGTAAATCAATTGATTGATAGAAAATATCCAAATATCCACCCCCACACCGAAGACATAGAACCGATTCCTACAGTCTACAACCTATATACCCCACCTTGGAGTAAGATATGTACCTCACCATCAAACCCACTTCGTCCTTGCCTGAAAGCATCAGAGTGAGTCTGCAGGTAAGACAGAAACTACCAGCTTCCCAGTAGCCCTGTAAATTGTCTACGCCAAGTGTTTACCTCTTCAACCATAGGGTCCGTCCAAAAAGGCGCGGGGTTGACGAGGAGATATATAAGGCGACACCTCTAGTTTCCAAAGGGAAAAATTGGAAGTAGAAATGAGAAAGGTCGCTACAGAACTGAGCAAGCGAAGAAAAAACAAATGCGAGGCCGGACGAGCTGCAAAATGGACACAGAACGAAATGACCTGAAGATTGAGCTGTAGCATTCGAGGGACGTTCCTATGTGCGCGGGAGACGTAAGGAAGAAGAACGCCGGCTGCGCAAAGTGAATTGCCTTGCGAGCACCGACTCCGGATAGAAGAAAAAGGAAATTTTGTTCATTTTTCATTCATCGCAATGCACCTGGTTTCAGAAACTTTACCCTGATCATAGCAGGCTGGAAACTCTGTTTCTCAGAGTCCTTCAAATGAACCCGCGCCGTCAACCGCCATTGCAACATGAACCTATACCCCACACGTAAGAAATCCCTTAAGCAGACTTGCTCTTGACAGCCTCACGACCCTTGGCGATGCGCTCGATGATCTGCTCACGGTCCTTGTCGAGGTGCAGCTTGGTGATGACGACCTTGGAAGGGTGGAGAGGAATGGGAACGCTCTGGCCGTTGCTCTTGTCGCGAACGATCTAAAACCGCAGTAAGTATCCGCCGCAGTAACTGTGATGTAAATTAAAATCGTACCTTCTCGACGAAGATGGAGAACTTGAGACGGTAGACGTTGGTGATCTTTCCCTCACGTCCCTTCTGGGAACCTCTGGCAACAACTGCATGTGATAGTCAGTTTCAAGATCTCGAAATAATTTTCAGGTTGCATCAAGAATGAAACTTACCGACTTCGTCGTCCTTGCGGATGGGAATGGAGCGGATCTGTCACAGAACGCTGGTTAGAATCGTGGTGTATTGTCTCATGCTGGCGCCTGCATCGTCTGTAGTTTCCAATCCCGAAAACTCGACTTGAACAGACCCAGATTCGATTTTGGAGGGTTCATGTGGTACATACTCCGTACTTCTCCTTGAGTTCCTTGGAGACGGGGGCGCTGAGGATGACACGGCGCTCGCTGGAGGGGGCCTGGAAGTGTGCCTTGCGAGACTTGCTCCGCGAAGAGGCGATACCTGGAGTAGACACCATCAGTATTGAATTTGAAGATTGGCGAAAATTCGTATCGATAGGGGTTTCGAGCAGTGGTAAATCAAATCGGCGCAAGGCGAGATGCGAGAGAGTACGCACCGTGGGTTCGGACAGCCATCTTAAAGGTCGTGAGTGGGAATTGAACGGGTGTCGTTGGCGTTGGTCGAAGAGAGGATCTTTTCTGGTGTAGCCGAATATTCCAAGTTGGAGCCGGATTGTGTGCTTACTAATTTCCCGCTAAGCCATCTCAGGGCTTGCAACTAGACACCTGATCCCCAAGGCACAAAGTGCCCGTAATATGATTGGTGGACGACAGGCCCCACATCCGACGCGCTTCTCAATGCGCCTCGACAACATCTGCGCCAGGCTAGCTCTTTGGCCACGCTTTGTTCGGGGTCGAGGAATTTCCTTCCTCAGTTCTTCAATTTCAGTCTCACTTTATGCATGATAGTTTATCTGGGTCTATTTGGGTGTACCCGACTTTGCCTTATTCGGCCGCGATTCAACCCCTCCACGCGCAACGGAGTACGGCCACGCCTTTTCTTCGCTCGGTCCTACAACATCTCCAGCCATGAGGTTCTAGCTGCCAGACACCCTTCAAACAATTTGAAATGTCTAATGGAGGCATGGACGGATTCGATTGGCTCCAGAATTTTCTTCCAGCCGATAGCCAACCGGACCACGACCCCAATTCCAACAATGAGGCCTATCGAACACACCCGGCATTCCATGATGCGGAGGAGGTAGCTAGAGCTAGAGCCACCGTTATGCACCAGCAGGCACATAATTCATATTCATTTGTGAGGACAACCAATCATGGGACGAATCATGCCTTAAATCCCCCTCACGTGTACTCCCAAGCCTCAGGTGGACAGTACGAAGGAAATAGACACCAGCAAACCAGCAATACTCAATTCAACAATCTTTCTTCTGGCCATTCTGCACACCCAAAAGCTCGCTCTCACAATATAAACCATCAGCCAAATCCTCCGATTCCGTCCCAAAAACACTTGAATGCTCAGCCACGTGAGGGTACCGCTCCCTACCCAAGGATGATTTCCAACTCTACACCAAACTACCCAGATGTCTATCAAAGCACCCGGGGGGCTCATGAAACTGCACGGTCGACAGTTGCTGTACAGAGAACAAACCAACCCATGGCACGGCCTGTGCCCACATCACAAGGCTCGTACCAAGGCTACTCGGCAACCCTAAATCAGAATTCCCAGATGTCAACGCAACCGTACATGGAACAAGGGATGACAACACAAGTTCAAAGAACACGCACGCCGGCTATTTCGCAAAGTAATTCTTACACCAGATCAAGCCACATACCGCCTGGGCCTTCACTTCACAGTCAAGATCATGTGCAGTCAACTGTGCCGACAGCGCCTCATAGAGTCCACAGCACTGCAACATCACAGCCTGCCTCAACCCACAGTCCTTCTGTCTCCCTTGTCTCTTCTGCTCCTACCTCTGCCACTGCTCCTCCGGCACCCCTCACAAAGACAACTATTGTCCCACATCAGATAGACAAGGGCTGGACGCAGGAGAAAGAAGGGCCTCAGGGTAATGTAGCACCTACTTCATCATACCAGGCACCGAATCAGGAAAGCCAACAGCCCCATATCTCCCAACCAAATGGACAGAGCCCACCGGTGGTACCATCGGCGTATGCGTCTCCCACTCCCTCGGCGGCCTCTCACCTGGGGCCTTCTTATAACGCTTCGCATACCTCAGGACCTCGACTAGGCACCTTGTCTAACTCGACTGTGACACAACAGCCTGCTGTGGTGAATACGCAGTCGCAAGATTTCCCACTGTCGGGACCACTTCATCACGAGAAAAAGCGGGTGATTCCAACCGAAGAGAATTCGATGCCACTCGCAAAGGTGCGACTATTGGACAATGGTAAAAGTCAAACAATGACCCTCCAAAACAACCCATCAGCAAGTAGCTCGGTGCCAGGGGCCAAAGGTTCTACGGAATATACTCGGCCTCGAGGCTCCGGTAAATTTCTTAAGAATCGTGGCGACTTGGTCCAGCCAATAAGATGGAGCGATGCACTGCCCAAGGTCTCTTATGATCCGGCCACGATCGCGCGGGATGTACTGATTGCTGCGGGGAGGCACCCGACCGAAAAGCATCTAAATCATCATCTTGAGCCACTACGTCGTAATTTCACCAAGATCGACTACCTTGCAAACCTGGCAACATTTCGCTGGGACCTGGTGGATGCCAAGCAGCCCGAAACGCAGGTCGATCGCGTGCCTCTAGTTCATGCACCCCACATGCCACCTCTTCAATCACCTCATCCTCAGCCACCGCATGCTCAACCACCACTGGCAGCTCGACACTCAGTTGCACGTGACCCATATGTTACAGCAAACCACGTGACTACACGTGACCAGGCGCCGCTGCCGCCGCGTGAGACACCGCCAAAGCGCCAAATCGCAATGCCGGAAAGGATCGACGCGCGCGCCCCTCCTAGCGGTTTGAGCCCTTGGGGTACTTTACCTTTCAAACCTCCGACCTATCATAGTCCTCAACGCATTTTTTCTTCATCAACCTTGCCTTCTGGACTGCCCAGAATTGATCCTGTTCCTGCATCCCCAAAGTTTTCATCCCACGAATCCGTCCCAACCCCCCCACCGCCGCAACCTCGAGCCCGACCCCAACAACGACGCCCCTCGGCCACGAACAGCCCAGCTCCGCCCAAACCTCCGCCTGCCGCAAAACAACCGACCCCTAAATCTACCAAATCTCCCACAAAGCCTAAACCTCAAGGGCAGACGGTCAAGAGCACGCCAGACTCTGGCCGGACCGTCAAATCCCCAGAGGCGAAGCGTCTTCCCCAGCCACTGGTCGTAATTCCAATCTCATCCGTAAAGATGACCACGAAGAGAAGACCAGGGCGACCTTCCAAGAACGTAGTAGCAAATATCGAAGTTGCTATTCACCGTGAACAACCAGTGCATTACCCAATCTTCCCATGCAAATGGGAGGAGTGCACTGCAGAACTGCACAACATTGAGTCGGTTCGGGCCCACCTTATCAAAGTTCATATCCCGCACTCCCTGGTTTGCAAATGGACAGACTGCGGCAATAAGACGCCAATGGCTGCAGCTGATATGTTCACGCATCTATCGAGCGAGCACGTCTCAAAAATGGCCTGGGAGCTTGGGGATGGACCAACGGTGCCAGTAACTGGTGAGAATTATAACTAGCTTGCGCTTGACACCCCTCCAAGGGCTGATCCACACACGAAGTTTGTTTTTTGATTTGAAGGAAATGTCTAATTGGATGAATATTCTAGCGGAAAACCAATCGATTCACCCTTCCGTTTTGGGTGACCGCAGTGCCCGCAAAGCGACCATGATATTGCCGGTGGATGAGCACCAGGTCAAGGCCTTTAGCAAGGCCCATGGTAAGTCGACGGAGAAGAACAAGGCACAAGCCCTGCTCGAAGCCGGTCAACTTTGGAAGCAGCAGATCGGCCCTGAGATGGACTGGAGTGACCGTCGCCTATCGACACCGGCTCGACAGAGCAAGGTGCATTGTGGCGAAATGGCGTTCGTTGGGGAGAACTGATGCGTCGCATCGGTTTTGTGATACGTTTGCTTTCCCTTTGCCTTCTAGGATTCAGGTTCATTACATTCATTGCAACTGGCTTGCATGTGAACTGGTGTTGAAAAGCACATCATAATATGCCATCTGGCTATGGCAGGTAGGGCGCACGATACTTTACACCTGGATGACACCTCCAGAGATTCTCGTTTATCTATGAGATCTATACGGTGAATTCTCCAGGAACTACACATTATCAAATTACTCGAAGAACATTGATGAATAAAGCCATGAGATTGACAATGATTGCCCTTTCTCTCCAATTGATTGCACTGTAGTGTACAACTTTCTGACTCGCTGGTAAAAGTAAAATCAAATGATGTAGGCACTGGTATCTTGGTTCTCTGTTGGATTCTTGTATTTCCTGCTCTCCCACACGTTGTAAATCGGATTCAATTCCCCTTCCCTGAAGCTGACACGTTGTCTGTGGACATCACTGGCACAGTAGCCTCCGCCTTAATCTGGCTTGCTGATTCGGCAGACTCAGGTTCCTCGTCGCTGGAATTGACATCGAGGAAGTGGTATAGGACAATCATCATCATGGCGCAGGAGCCAAGGAAGATGGCAAGACGGTAGAGGTCGTCGTCGGAGATCATTGTGAATGGAGGTCAGGGAGAAATAGAGTGAAAGGCGACAGATGAAATTCAGGGACAAAACGACCGTCGAGGGACAATGCGTGGAGGGATAGGCGATATAGTCGGAGAAGACACGTCGGCCAGTAGTTCGAGTGACGCTACACACAGTGTAGTTGTGTAATGGTGGGGTGTCTCAAAAGTAGGATTTGAAGTATCTGCTCTTTGAGGAATTGAGAGGATTGAGATGATTGACAGGGAGAGGAAGAGAGTCAAGAGGGAGATGTGACGAAGTAGTTGATAAGCTGGAACATTGAAATGAGAGAGCTATCGGGGGTAATGTCAGTACCCAATCCATGTCCATGTTACTGTGTATTTAATGTATTTAATGTATTTGGTACCCGGTATGGAGTAAATGGTAGTAAATGGCTTGCAATAATCACCTTCTCCGTACTCTGTACTTGTACTTTACGTACTTTACGTTTTTTTACGCACTTTGGTACTTTTGGGTCTCTTCTGACCTTCTTACTACTCTCTACTCATCTTCTCTTAGGAATATCCTTCTATACAATTCTTCCCTAGGAGAGAGAGAAAGAGAGAGAGGAGCCCCCTAGTTCAAGTGCTCCCTTTCAAGTGCGTAATTCGAATTACCATCCCCCCCGGAACATTGGAACATTACATCTTCAATTCTTCCCCTCTTCTCTTCCCCTCTATTCACCTTCTTCAATCAATTCTACTTTCTCCCTATAGTCATTTCCTATATGCGTCTTTCTTCGCCATGACCGAATTACAGGCCACTTCTGTGCCTAAACCGGGTCCCGCATTACTGGCGTGTCTTCAGTGCCGCCACAAACACCTCAAATGCGATGGCAGGACCCCCGTCTGCAGCCGATGTGAACACGCCCGATCTCCTTGTGAATACACCAAGTCTCGAAGAGGCTACAAGGGTCCATCGAAAAAGCGCCGCGCTAACTCGCCGGATTACTTGCCCATGGACCCCAACCCAGTAGGCATGCTCGATGTCCCCGTGGATTGGAGCTTGCAGGCTGGTTTCACTTATGCGCCAGCCATACCATTAGCCTCCTCCGCATCGACTAGTCCTGGAATGCAGGCTCTTTCGACGCCAATTGTTCCATCCGCTCGCCTGGCCAGCGGACCGTTGACTCCCGATTCTTCCACTGCTGCCGGCGGGGATGGCTACCTGCTCGATATCTACTATAATTATTTCCACGCCGCTCATCCAATCCTACCACCTCACCGACTTCTATATAGCAACGTGTTTCCCGCATACCTGGAGCAGGTAATGAAGTTCATCGGTGCCCACTTCACCTCGGCCGCCTCGAGTGACACGTACCGGCCTACGGTTGTCGCAATGGTTCAAGAACAAAATGTGTCGGTGGAAAAGGTGCAGGCGCTGCTTCTACTGGCGATTGTACTTCACTCAGACAATGAACGCGGCGAGGCCGGTGTTTGTCTAGCCGCTGCAGTAGATTCGGCCTTCGAGCTTGGTATGCATCAAGGGACGTTTGCGATCCTTGCAAGCAATGGGGATCCAATCCGGGCAGAGTCTCTGCGGCGCACCTGGTGGGAGCTCTTCGTAATCGAGGGCCTCATGACTGCCCTCGGTGTGCAGCGTGTATACCGAACTAATCAAGTACCGCTCGAGGTCCCACTTCCATGCGAAGAGCGGATTTATCACGATGCCCTACCACCGCCACCATCCCCGACCATTGCGCAATTTGACGGGCGCGTGTTCGCCGACGAAGAGCGTGACTTCTCCTCATACTGTTATCGTATTGAATCCATACGGATTCTCGGTCGTGTTGTGGCGATCCAGGATATGAGTGAAGGCCAACAGGACCACGTGGAAGCTATTGATGCGCGCATTAGTAGTTGGGGCCATCACTTACCAGAGTCCAAGTTAGAACTCTTGCGACCCGATGGGAGCGTGGATGAGATCATGTTCCAGGCGACCATGATGTTGAACGGCGCAGCCATCTACCTCAACTTCCCGCGGTCTGATCTTCTTTCATCTCCCGCTGTTGCCGCGGAAGTCATCTGTGGCCACCATGGTCCGATCAGCGTGCCTGCATTCTCCCACAATGAGCATGCTATGAAGGCCGCCAAGGCCGCCCGAGAGCTATCGCGCCTTGCTGCCTTCCGTCTGCCCGTTATTAAGCACACCCCATTCTTCATCTGTGCGCTCACTCTGAGCTCCATTGTCCAACTGGCCACCTGCTCTGTCAAAGCCGGTCAAATGCCCGACCCCAGCCGCGACCGTCTGTCGTTGACGATTGGTGTCTTCAAATCGTTGGCTCGCACCTGGGCCATTTCGCAATCGATCATGCGGCAAATCAAAGCCGTTGCACGAGATGTGATGGATTTGGGACTGCGTCCAACGATGGACTCGCTAGATCTGACCACAGTGTTAGATAACAGTCAGTTCTGGGTGGATCAGGGCCCGAGCTGAGCAAAGAAGTTATCACTTACCTCTCCCGTCCCTTCTCGCCCGACGTTTCATACTGTCTCCGATATTTGCGACTTTCCTGATAATCGTTGAACCAAGTCAAGAGCGTGCTTCCGGACCCAGCGTGCTCACCCTTTGACCAAAGGGTTGTGTTCACCGCCTCCACCAATCCCTCCCCTCCCCCTGCAGGGCTCTGGCCCTTTGGGGGCTGAGCAGACCCAAGTGCGGAGTATAATAGTATAAATCTGTATTCGATTCCTGCCCGATTCTTGGCCGGGATACCTGGAGGGAAGTGGAATGGGGATTTCTTTCCACCGGTACCTGGCTTTGTATATATCATACCATGTGATTTCTCTCTTTACCTTTATAGACTTGTTGAGGTAGTTCAGACCGAGACCATGGGTTTATCTCTGTTTCTCTGCGAGATGAGGTCGAGCGCCCCTAGAAGACAGTTAGATGGAGTCATAGGTTTTGGACCGGAATTCCGTGGCTACGTACTATTTAGAAGAGAGTGGACCATCTATACCATAGGCTTAAATCTACTTATGAGGTAAACAATGACAACATTACTGAATGAAATATGGAATATCCACAAAACATCAACGCCAGAAATCACATTCTCCTTGTCCCATGAGTTTATCAGGCAGACTATTTGTACTCGCGGAGATACTTCAACCGCTTAATAGCAAGAGAAAAGTCCTCATCGGTAGTGACCGTAGTTGCACGTCTGCCACCAGGAATAGCAGCCATCATTTCCTTGGCCTGTTTCAACTCGGAATCCAGAACTTCTTTGAGATTGAAGTGCTCATGTTCAATTTTACGTGCTTGCAGCGTCCCTAAAATACAGACTTGATTAGCAACAATGATTACAAGGTAGAGGACATATCCTTACGATCGACCTTGGCAAGGTGCTTATTAGCCTGGACGAGTGCACCCCAGAGAGCACAGACTTCTGCCACTTTCCCAAAGGTGTCGTTGCGGGCCCAGCCTAAAAGACCATTGAGGAGGTCGGCCTCTGATTGTTTGTTAGTTCTCGTGACAGGTTAGAGGATGAAAAAGAAGTAGAGAGAGGGAGAGAGAGACATGACTACCTTTGGACTCCCTAGATAGCCGGTAGAGAGTAGGGATCTCGGCTGCCATGCGTTCATAGTTCATTTTGCCAATATAGTAAGTCAAAGACACGATAGAAAGATGGTGTTAATCAAAGGAAATAGGCAAGAGAAGAGAAAGCGTGTTATATAAACCAAAAGAGCGGCACCAACGTTTGGCTTTCAAATGCAGATAGAGTCATTGACTATTCGCATTATCTGGTCCAGTCCATCTGTTTAGAGAAAGCCTTGGGGATTTGGAACAAAGCACCCAAGTCGAAGTACACAGGATCTATTTTGAGAACAAAGAATTTACCTACAGAACGTTTTCAACATCCGCCCGATTTCGATTTTCATACCAACGCCGAGGGATTAGACTTTTCCAGAGCCTTGGAAATATGTGACGGGGACAAAGGAATTTCATTCCTATCAGAATGGCTGTAGTTGGGATAGACCCGGGAAGAACAAAGAGAACGTCGACTCGGGCTCTTCAAAGCTGGTCACTGCAGGAAAAAGAAAAGAAGATAGAAAAGAAATAGGAAAGAAAATCCCTCTTCTTCAATGTTCATTCGATATCTTCTGAATCGTTCTTCCTAGTGATTTTGCTCGAAATGGCGTCCCAAGATACTCCCCCGGATTTCGTGAATCGCATGGAAAAGGTGCCAGCTCCATATCTGAGTGAACAATATGGCTACAGCAAAGACGGTAGGTTAATAATAATCCAGGTTCAAAGTTAAGAAGTTAACAGATATCGGCAGGACTATCTTGCGCAATTATTGCGTGGATGCTGGACCTTGATGTCCGAGCAGCCATCAAGAAGCGCGAGTTCCAACGCACATATCAGAGAATGTGCCTTTACATTAAGCATATGGAGCGTACGTTTTTTTTTTTTTTTGAGAATCTAGAATCTTGAATCTTGAAAAAGCCAGAGAATCAAGACTGATATCAATAGGCCTCATGGACCAAGCCAACATCAAATATGATCCCTACACCGGCGCGGAAGACGGCCGAAGAATGAAAATCGCTAGAGACACCTTCAAACCTCAGTTGAAGGCCAGGTTCATGACTACAGCGCCGTATCCAGTCACAGCTCCTATCAGCACCGATGGAGAGCTATGCAGAAGCGTTTCAGATGCGCAGACTTTTGAATACAAGCTTCACCAGTTGGAGATCCTTCGGTATATGGAGAGGGTTGATGGATCGGCATTGACTGATTTCGAGACGAGTACAAGGCAGCCCAGACCTGAGACAGGCTAAATGAGGGGGCATATTTGAGCAGCCGTTGATGATCCATCGGTTTGAATAGTGGAGGTGATTTGGATAGTACCTCCCTTGGTGGTACCATTTGGTGGAGATAGGGGTTTGTCGTTGAAGTGCAATGCCGGCTGTTCTGCTTTTGAAATTTCTTATGAGGTTCAGTTTCAACGGAAACGAAAGAAATTATTCAAATCAACATTTCCTCCCTTGTATAACTTCGATTCTGTGGCTAGGATCGGAATTTGTAAGAGAAATCTAAAGCCCTGGACTGAACCATGTTAGAAGACACTTCACGGTCATAGGATTCTTAATAACGCACAAGAGTAATAATAATAAAAAGATTTTGATTTCATTCAAACAAGTCTAACAGTGCTGCCGCCCAAGTGTAAAATCCAGGGGTATCTCAAATGCTGGGTTGGTGGTGTATGAGACGGGCAACAAAAACATCGCGGGCTATGTCAACAAGTGCTTTCACAAAAACAAAATAACGAGGGAAATAGCGCCAGGCAATGGTGGGGGAAAAAAAAGAACAGAAAAAAAGCCAAAACTCCTTGCCTTATGCTCAGGTCGTATCGGCATTGCATGAAAAATGTAGGAGAAAATGAATGAAATGCCATGAGAAATTCCGTATCGGGGGAAAGGGTCTAGATGCCTGCACCGCTGCTCAATTCACGCATTTCTTGCAGGGCGATAGCACGACGTGCAACGACATCTTCGCGGCGGACTACATTGCGCAGTGCTTCACTCGCTTGAATCAACCCGTCGATACTGATCGCGTGGTTGGTCATTTGGTGATTGATGTATGTATAGAGTGCGGCCGGCGTCGAGCAGGTTGTCAGCAATTGCTGTTCGTTGAGCTTGAGCAGTGCGAGAGCGACTTGGAACAGGAATGTGCTTCCGCCTCCGCTGCCGGATGCAAGATCTTCGGCAACCTTGGCGGTCTTGTCATTGCCATCCTTAGTACCAGAGACATTTGATCCGGAGGGGTTGGCTGCGCTGGTCACATTGAGACAAAGGACGACATCCCATACACGATACAATGCTTCCGCAGAGAGACAGTCCGTAAAGACAGAGAGGAACCATTGGAAGGTGAGCGCCTCTAGTTCAATGCCCAGTTCCTCCAAGTGGGCAGATAGTCTGGGAAGCAACTCTGAAATATACTGGCGCAAGACCACCTGATCGGCACGAGAGGCAAGCAAGCCATGGTCGTAGTAATGCTGAGGCAAAATAATCTCGATCATCGAGGTCAGAATCCAAAACGCGTCCTCGGCAGTCGGCATGATGAGCAGCAGAGACCCTGCGATTAGGTTCATGCCCTGACAGTAGCCTACTTCTGGGTTACGGCGTGAGTATGCAAGCAGAACCTCTTTCAGCTTGCCGACACCGGGCCCTTTGCGGAAGAAGACATTATCGGTAAGAGTGCGGCGTATATCCATGTCGATTTGTGCGACGACGGAAGGGTCGGGGTCCAATCCACCAACGCCATGCACAAGGTCATCATAGTAGCCAGGAATTCGCATTGCCGAAGCCCCGCTGCATTCCGACCAAGTTTTGGCGCGAAGAGCAACTGGGATGCCACCGAGTACGAGAAGCCGGAATTCTCGCCACTTCGCTCGGCCAACCTTGCCTTTGTTACCCAGACCTGCGATACCTACGACTTCGCCGTCGGCGAGCGAGACTTCTGGCGTGTCAACGGCAGCAAGAGATCGATCGGAAGTTGCTGCAGCGGCTGCCGCTTCGCCCTCCTTCCGGCGCTCGGCACGCACTTTGCGAAGGAACTCGTTCCATCTCACAGTTCGATCGCGTTGCAGGGAATCATGCAGATCAGTCAACTGTTCCAATAACAGTTTTACGGGCTCCATCTCTGCGACGGTGAATCTGGAGGCGGTGTCTTTAAGTTGATCCGATGACAAGCCAGCGAATTCGGGGCTGTCAGCAGTGATAGCTGACGTAGACGCCGATGGTTGTGCGCTGGAGCCGACGGCCAGCGCCCCGTCTTTGTCATATGAAACAGACGAGCTATGAGAGCGATTTTCTCCTGCGGTGGTCAAAGCGACAATCGGGCCTGCGGAGGGTGTGTGGGACAATAGCTCCGTAGGACGAGACGGGATCCTCAGATAATCCTGCCAGCGACGGATGGCAACGGCCCCGCTGTCAGGGTCATCTGGTGAGTCAGGCAGAGAACGCGAGACCTCAGAAGCGGCCTGTCGAAGTTTTGTGATTTCGGGGTCATCCTCATGATCTGACGCATCGGTTCGAAGAGTACCGAGAGTTTCTGTTATACTCAAACGGTGAATGCTGCCCTTGGTAGCATTGGCTTCTCTCTGGCGCTTCTTTCTATGTTGATCATAGATAAAACCGAACCGGTCAGTGAGAAACTCACCCGGTTGGGAATTGTTATAAATAGGCGTGAGTGTCGGAGGCTTCGACTCCATGGGCAAAATGGCGTCCATCTCAACAGGCCCAAGATTTGTGGAGCTTTTATCCATAGTCTCCGATGCCACGCCCTGAGACACGCTTCCAGTTGCAGTCCGCCGCAAGGCGGGAGTGTTCATTTTGCCCTGAACGCTCGATCCACTGGCAGATCGTCCAGTGGTAGGCATACTAGCATTGCTGTTAATCTTCTTCAGTGCGGCCACTGCCGAGATTGAACCCTTGGAATTGCCAGACAGTGTTGACGAAGCACTTCTGTCTCCGTCCGGCCTTTTGAGTTGAGGCTTATTGTGGGTAGACTCAGCATCACTTGCGTCTCTGCTCGACTGGGGATTGCCAGCAAATAACTTAACAGTCCAAGAGCCGAAAGATCGTGAAGATTTGCGAGAATGAATGCTTGCATCGTCGCCATTTGCGGACGTGCTAGCAATGCGCTTCGCCGGTCCATTTCGTACCGGGCCATCCGGGGGCCGGAATAGCTGCTCGTCAAGCGCTTTGCGTCGCATTGCAGGATTGCTGGGCACTCGGGGACGCTCAGCGTCTTCTTCTCCAAGTTCACCAACATCACTCATAATGCTACTAGCGCGGCTGGTTTTCCGGCTTGTATTAGTCGAGCCAAAAAGGTACTCCTGCCAGCCGCGAATCGAGCTTTGACGCTTTCGGTTGTCAGTGGCTCCGCTGCCCCGGGGATCATTGTCTGACCGCTGGGCACGAATCGTGGCCTGGGCTTCTGCCGAGTCACTATGAGCCCGAGAGCCAACAGTGTCTTCCATAGCTTGAGACATCAATCCATTCAGACCGGAATAGGTTTGACCAGCATAATCGCTGCTATGAGTGCTTTCTGCATCTGAGACACGATCGCCCGGCGGGTTCTCCAGCTGATATAGACGGCGTTCAATGTCTTGGTTGGACACAGATACATCTCGTAGCATTCTCTTCAGCTCCCGCTCCCTTGCATCTGCGCGTTGGCGAAGGGCCGAGATCTCAGCATCCCGTTGAGCAAGATCGCGAGCGAACTGTCTCACCATCTTCACGGCTCCTGTGCCAGCAACCAGTCGTTCAATGTGCGCATCATCGGCCAAGTGCAAGGCGCCTGGTATATCATGTGTGGGGACGGAATCGGCGAAAAGGGCAGCTCTGCCTGATTTGTGCGACGGCCCAGTTGTCAAATTCGCTAGTGTAGCCTTCCTCCCACGGCTCGTCCCACTCCCATTTGATTGCGCTTCATCTTCGCCGGAGAACAACGTATTCGTCAGGCTACGGGCGAGGGTTGGAGATTTGTCTGGGGGTGAAAGCGAGGGGAACGAGGTCAAATCGGTTGTTGTATTGGAGGAGCCTGAATGTCGTTTTTGCATTTTGGCACGAACTATTTTAGCATTTCGACTTCTACTCGAGGCGCTTGAGGCTTGGGACGAAGAACGCCGCTGGGAGTGTGTGTCGGAATCTGCCATGACTCAACAACCGGGCAATGGCGTGGACGGTGGAATCGTTGATTAATGGCTTCATGAAGGCTTTTCTTAGAGCTTTCAGAGCTGGGTGGATTGGAAACGGTGTCCGGACTAGGGAGACAAACAATCAACTAGAGTATGTAGCTTCCGATATTTGGCTCGTCTTGTTGCGCGTGCTTGGCGATCCTTGCTGTAGTGATCCGTGGATGGAATGAAGGGAGATCGACCGTGATTTTCAGGGGCGGGCATGAATTTCAACCCTAGCTACCCTATTTTAGGACCAACAAAGGCATCAGAAAACAAAGAGCACAGATTTAAGTTCTGAAACCCACAAAGACAGCTTTGATAACTACCCTACGGCACATGACGTGACCAGATAAGTGTCATGTGACTCAAATGTTTATGTTTGTGTCATGTGATTCTTCTGTTATGCTGGCCACTGTGGTCTACCGTAGCCTTGCCGTAGCCTTGCCATAGTCCTGGAGCCTCGGCTCTCCGCATAACCGACATAGTGGGGAAAGCTGATGAGCTGTTATAACTACACAGCCGCCGCAATCGAAGCTGTTCCTCTAGCCAATTCAATTCGTTTCTTTATATTGAAGTCCCTTTACAATCACTCATAGCTTCACAATTATGTCTGCAGCAGCAAAGCAACGTCTTCAAGCCCTGAGCAAGCAACTCGTTGAGGGTATTCCCTCCGAGGGCACATTCGAGGATATCCCCAAGATCCGTCATGTTGCCCCTGATTCGGCAGGACCGTAAGTAGCCTTTAGGCTTATATCTCTATCCTGGTTCAATCAGTTTCTCGCATTGTATACATTGCAGACTTAGGTGCATGACTAACCTAACACCTAAATGTACAGCCGGGTCAAGGACAAGGTAGTAATCGTGACCGGTAAGTACTATTCCTCAACGCCATTTCAAAGAACCCATACCAATTAAAAGTTCAGGCGCAAATTCCCCCAATGGCATCGGCCGTGCCAGCGCGCACCAATTCGCCAACAATGGCGCCAAAGCAGTCTACATCTGCGACTTCAGCGACACCCATCTGGCAACACACAAGCGGGAGCTAGAGTCCCTCTACCCAAACGTAGACATCCACGTGCGATCATTCGACGCGGCCGACGAGAAAGCCCTGAGTGGAGTAATCGACGAAGCAGTCAGCAAATATGGCCGGCTAGACGTCTTCTTCGCGAACGCAGGCGTGGTAGGCCAACCGAAGCTGTTCACCGAGATCGACAGTGAGGGATTCTTAAACACGATGCGAGTAAATGCTCTCGGGTATGTACACCAATCCCTGAAGCAAGACGAGCACAATTCCCCGGAATGCAAACGAATCTAATCAACCCGGACAAACAGCGTCTTCCTAGCAGCCAAACACGCTGCCCCAGCAATGAAGCTAACCTCCGCCTCAAAGCCATACCCAAGCGGCTCAATCATCGGCACAGCATCTGTAGCAGGCCTCCGCTCCAACGCTGGTTCCACCGACTACTCCGCCTCAAAGGCGGCAGTCGTGTCGATCGCACAGACGGTCTCGTACCAACTCGCTGGGTCGGGTATCCGCATGAACGCAATCTGCCCCGGACTGATTGAGACGGGGATGACGCAGTCGGTGTTTGACCGGGCACGGGAGCGCGGCACGGAGCGCAAGATCGGACAATTGAACCCGTTGCAGCGGGGAGCTGTTGCTGATGAAGTTGCGCGTGTTGCGCTGTTCCTTGGTAGCGATGAGAGTAGCTATGTTAATGGACAGGCTTGGGCGGTTTGTGGTGGATTGAGTGCTGGACATCCTGTTGTGCCGGGCAAGTTGGCTTGAAATGAGGTCCCAGGCATTGGGTTGCAGTCGAATAATGTACATACTTCATGAATAACATATGAATCCTGAAAGGAGGCATACGTAATTCCATAAGCCTTTCGAAGGCTTGGTTACGATGAGTGTAAGTTGCGGCAATTGAAAAAAAGTTCAAATTCACAGAATCCATTTTAAGAGGGCAGGGACCTATATAGACCCTGGGAGATTGGATCAATCCAAATCAAGGACTGTAGATAAATAGGAAATATCATCCGCAGACAGTGCGGGTGGTGGTGCAAAGTGGAGGTCTCTCTCTTCGAGATGAGCGCAAATCAAACAAATCAAGCCGTTCCATCCCAGACGGCACGACACATAAATAACGAATTCCTCGGGAGGAGAAAGCAGGGCAAAATGAAATATATAAAAAAACGAGAGAGAAAAAAAAAATAACAAGTCCCGGGAAGGCAACAAAACGACCATAAATTATTGGACAAGAAAACACAGATGGTCGGGTGGATATAATGAAGATCAAAAATAATCAACACGACGAAAAAGGAGAAATACGCCAGACAACCAGAGCGTATGTGCCGTATTCGGGATACTGCACAGATGAAGTAAAAAAGGGGAAAAGGCCTCGCCAGACAGGAGAAATAAGGAATGGACAGAGAAGAGAAGGAAAAAAAAAAAAAACAAACAAACAAGATCGTCTCAGTCATCTAACCTGAAAAGCTGATGGAAAAGCTAGATCACCCGTGTGGCAGTGGGCCGCATGAGATCCTCGCTATTCTGCTTGGACAGAGTTCCACGCTCAGTCTGCTGGTCGTCACCGTTCTCAGTCTCGTGAGCATGCTCATCATCATCCTCAACGATCCGGGTTGGGATATCGCCAGGGCCATACTGCTGACTTGACCGCTCGGGGAAAGTCGAGCTGCTGACCATAGACATAGATGTGCTGGAGCGGTTGTGGACCAGATCCGGGGTCGGGGGGATGCTGGAGTGGCGGTTATCCGGGTGGAGAGAGCTGTTGTCAGCGTCGCTAATCTCGCTAGGGGCGCGGCCGGAGCGGGCGTCCATGTTGTCGTAGTCGGAGCCAAGACGTTTGTTCTGGCCGATCTTGTCGGTCTGGTAGAGTCTGGCGATCTCTTCATCGTCCTCGGCGTTTTGGGCCAGGTGCAGGCCTTCAACGGCGGCGGCGCACTGGTCGCTGATGCTACGGATAATGTCCGCGATGGCATCGGTCTTGTCGCGCAGGTAGCGGTCTGCGACATCTGTGATGCTAAGACGCGCAAGGGTCTTATGATCCTTGCCGAGGTTCAGCAAATGCTGCTCCAGCTCGGGCTTCATATCATTTACCAGAGTATTTTCACCATCGACATCCCTAGCCGCCTTGGCGGACTCCTTCGACTCAGCCACTGACACATCCTCCCTGGGCTCCTCGGGAGCGTCTTCGTAGCCCTGCTCGACCATTTCAGTAATCTCCGACCTGCTACCAATGGAGCGGACGATGTGCTCCATGTGGTGGCTCTGGCCATTGATGAGGCTGCGCAGGTGCATGACAACACGCTGGGCATCTTCACGCTCGCGGGCGAGAGTTGCGTTAGTGTGCCAGAGGGCAGAGATCTCCTTCTGGTTGCGCTTGCGCTCACGCTCAAGCTCTTCAGCAATCTCTTGCTGGAGGACCAGTGCCTCGAGAGCATCGTCGCGCTGCTTCTCAGTGCCAGACAGACGCAAGGTAAGGCGAGCCACATCGTCCTTTTGTTGGTCAATAAGACCAGTGAGGCGACGGCTCTCGCGCTTGTGGTTTTCAATCTTGACCTTGAGCTCCGAGGTCTCCTTGGTGAGCTGCTCAGCAAAGGCTTGGAACTTGAGGAACTGCTGCTTCCAGGTCTCAAGCTCCTCAACCAGGAAGTTATTGCGCTTGGTGACCTTGCTGAGCTCGGTGTCCATTCTACCCTTGAGGTTGATGAAGTCTTGCCAAGCTTCCATGGCATCCCGAGAGTACTGGTTGCGCTCACGCACAATCTCGTTGAGATGACGCATGGAAACCTTGGTCATGAGAGGCTTCTTGACGGAGCCACCGAAGATGGCCTTCATACCGGTGTTGCGGCCCTAATAGATATAACATTAGTTTTGATTGTGGTTAGTAACACTGAAGGGAGTAAACGTACCAGCTTCTCGCACACATGGTCCATGACGCCCATGACAGCATCCTGGTTCCACCATTGTGGTTCTTCAATACTTTCGACCTCTCCTCTCATGACAATAATCTGGCCAGCCGGGATGAGCTTGCCGCCAGCGTAGGCAGTGCGCAGGTGCGGGGGCACACCGGAAGGCGAGACATCACCATTCAGGGATTGGGTCATGCGGTTGATGAACTTGGTGCGCTGACCTTGGTTCAACACATTAGGAGGGCTGGAGGTGAGAACAAAGTTGCGATCGAGATCGACCACGAGAGCGTCAGATGGAGCGTTGAACAGAGTCCGGCACTCGGCAGTGATACCCAGGATATAGGGACCGGGCTCCTGGACCAACTCCTTGACGTGGCGGGCGTGGACCACGGGCACGTACAGACCACTCCACTCGTAGACGCGAACGCAGTAGCGAATGGTTTCCGCAGCGACAGTCAGCATCGCCGGGTAGTGGCTGACGAAAATGATACGGCGGGTAGGTGAGACAGCAGCCTCGATCACGCCAACAATGTTGGGGATTGACAGACAAGTGAACAATGGCCACATGGCAAAGTTCTGGAAGCCAGTGGGCGACGAGGGGAACTGATAGCATAGGGCATAATCTTTCATATCAATGCGAACCAAGTCATTGAGACGCGGGGCCGGGAAGCTGAGGATGCGGGAGACCTCCTCAGCGTGGAACAGGTTGGTGGCTTTGTTCCAGTGGATCCACATACCACGGAGGTAGTCACCTAGTAGATCGTAGAGGGGATACCGGGAGAGGAAGCTTAAGCAGTAAGGAATCCAGTAGGTCTCATCGGGGTTATCATAGAAGTCCGGCTCCGTCTTCTTACGTAGCTCGCGGATGGTCTCCGCACGCTTCTCGTCGGCACGGGACCAAACGCGCAGCGCGATACCGTATAGCGTGTGAGAAGAGTCCTGTTGCAACACAAACGCGTGGTGTGCACAGTGAGGCTGGCTCTTGCCAGTGCAGATCTCCACATCGTGAGGGAAGCATGCTCGCATAGCCGAGTGTAGGGCTCGTGCGATCTCATTGTCCTGTTCTAGTCGAGGGCTGCTTCCCAGAATCTCGGGGAGCCAGAATTGGCTGACGGCTCCCTTCATATGGCCAATCTTGCCCTGGGCGGGGGCAGGCGCTTTGACCCATTGTGAAGGTTCGCGTCCGACACCGCATACCATGTAAGCATGAGTGAGTGTTTTCGGTGTGCGCTGAGCGGGCTTGATGCTGAGTGTGGACGGAATAGGCTGAGTGATGCGCGAGTGCAACGACGACGTACGGCTAGGAACGACCAGCGAATTTTCACCTTCGCCGCGTGTCGTAGGCCGATCCCGAGTGGATGGGCGGACAAAGGACCCATGTTCTCGCAGAGAATGGACCATTGTTGCGATGTAGGCTTATATATCGGGTGAGTATGTCGAGTCAAAGAGCATGTAGTGTTGGAGAATCCGGGTTTGAAATTCCTTTGGAAATACAGGAATGTAGGAAGTCGAGGAAGCACTACTTGAGTGCGGTTCGAAATGAGGGTGTACCCAAGAATCAAGGAAAGTCGGGGAGATATTAGAGAGTGTGTGAGAAGCCCGGGTGAAACTTCAATAATACTCAAGACTCGAGAACACACCCGCCATGTGCATACAACTGTAGTTTAAAAAACACAGAAACCCAAGAAAGAGGTTTAGGGGGAAGGACAAATAGGAGAAGAAGCAGAATCGAGGGAATTAAAGACTAAGGAGTTCTCTCCACTTTAATTAGTTGTACGGTAATTTGTTTACGGGTGGTATTTATGGAGTGTATTTAAAATGTTTATTGTTTATTGTTTCATGTTTTTTTTTACTTTTTGGTTTTTTTTTGTATGTTCCAAGGTTTTCTTCAGGGTTTAATATAATATAATTATTCGAAGCAGTCAAGGAGATAGAAATGATATATCCAACACCCGTTGGCAATTGACAACGTTGGGTTTCGCCTATTCTTTCTGATTCGTTTCACCTCCTTCATTTTCACCTTTGATGCTCCGTACTCAACTCATATCCTCTCCCTCGGTAATCTGCAGTACGACCATATATATATGCAAGCTCCTATGTTTCGCCTGCGAGCAGTTAGGAGACTCCAACCACTTCATCACTTTACTATTGAACTATTTTACTATTTCATACTGACAAATATCCAGATATCCCTACTATGTCGATCATCTGATTTCATTTGAGGCCGAATTGAAAGATCGTGAGCCATGGATATCCCGTCTATGTACCCGTCCGAACTGGTCAAGAGTTTCTATGATTGGTCGATTCCCCTGACCAGTCCCCATCGGTTCGATCCTCCAACCTTGGTTATGCAATCTGACCCCCTGAAAGGATCTTAAAAGATGTATCCATCCATGGATGGATGTACTCCGTACAAAGTGTGTATTGTATAACCTTGGAATCCACCTGACAGTTGGAAAAAGAAGGCACATATAGGACTCCGTACGATGTACAATATATATAACTATATAATCCTGGAATATAACCCATCTCATATTCTCCTTATCTCCCTGTTTCTCGCAAACTCTACTCGACTCGTGTTAACCCGTCAAAGCGGGCAAGCTAAGCTACTAACCCTACCGAGCTACTCAGTCTGGCAGTTTCGGCGGAGATCTCATTTCCCGGGTGAGCCCCTCACGCACGACTTTGCAAGGTTCTGGATCCCATGTGGTAAGGAGCCACTCCGTACATGTATGTACATGGTAACAGAGATCTGGCGAAGGCTCGGGATCGCACATGGGAAGATCTCATGAACCAACCATTGGATAAACAATACATGTTATGTTGTATGGCTATTGGCGACCACCCTCATTAATT